CGTCAGCAATTGTGTTCTAATAAATTCTATATTAACAACCTCGTGTCTGCTTATTGATGAAAAACATTGAATTATCAATGAATGCCGAGGTTAACAGAAAGTCGGTCATGGGAATATCTAAATCCTGTTGAGCTCTCCTATTTATCTTGTTATTTAGGGCTTCGCTTGGCGTATAACCGAAATGTAGTGTCAGATAGCAGCAGACTCGGCCGACAACGAATCTCTCGAACACAAACGTGCAGAGCAACTATGGAAAGAAATGATGGCCTTGGAAGAGAATGAAACGGTAGCGCTCTAATTTCTTTTCAATATGGCGCAATGTTCACGGCGATATTTTACGCTCCGGTTGCTTTTCAGTGTTCTTATAATATGAATTTTTTATTTAATCATTCATGGAGTGAGCATTTTCAAAAATAATAGTCTCAAGAAGAAGAAAGAAGAAGGAAGACTTTTAGAGCACTTGTAGAAGCTGTAGCCGAAATAGCAGATCTTCTTAAAGTGAAAGATCTAAAGAGCGAAGCGATCTTGATTAAAAAATCAAATAAGGGCTACACTGTTGGGACAGAAAAGGTCTGATAAACATTCCTTCTACATAGCGACGATTATCACAGAAGAAATAAATTTATGCTCCAGGTAGCTGTTACCATGAGCGAACTTAAAGGACAGACCAATTTACTGGAATGTGAAAGAGACGACTTGAAGGACCAACCAAATGGTGGTTGCAAACGAAATACATGTGAGGGATGCTGCCGCTGCCGCCGGAGTAAGAACCCAACCTAGAATTTGTAGAAGCTGGCATATCATTGCCGTTTATTTTATGTCCATTTTGATATGAAGTTTTGAGAAGTTCTCATGGTACACTTTGAGGAGGAAAAGGTAATTGATGGACTAATTACTAATGCGCAACATATAAGCTTCACCGTAGGGCAGTGGAAAGGAGACGCTTTTCCTCAAAAACAGTTAAAAGTTTATAAATCAAACGATTTGGAAGACGAACTCAAGAAACTGAGAGAGGAGCCTGAAACTGAACCATGGGACGTTGAGCGAATAGGAGCGGTGTTAAACACTAACTCGTTGACTGACAGAAGTTCATCTTGGCAATTACCAAACATTGCGGTTACGTTATGAGTTCGATGAAATAGAAGCAAACGATCGGCAGGAATTCTCTGCTATGAACAAGGAGATACAAGGCTAAAAGCGCGGCTCGGTCCAACAAAACCTCCGGAATACAACCACAACGTTGCTGAGATATTTGCAAAACTCTGGACCGCATGTGTCTATGGTGGGGAACGAACGCGCTATTGTCCTTTCCGGGGAGTAACGCCTTCACCACCACACCATGCGGGTCCTTTGTTTCGCCTCTCTTAGCTATTTCTATCGATCTTTGCCACAGCAATCAAAATAAAAAGGTACAACATTGTGATTTCAACTACAGCCGCAGCTTAACTGGGTTCTATGCCGATTTGGGTGCCCCAGATCGTTCCCGCTGACGGGTAATTGACGGGAGAGACAGACGAAACAAAGGACCCGCATGGTGTGGTGGTGAACGCGTTACTCCCCGGAAAGGACAATAGCGCGTTCGTTCCCCACCATAGACATCTGCGATCCAGAGTTTTGCAAATATCTCAGCAACGTTGTGGTTGTATTTCGCTTAGTACCTTGCCGCGAAATTATAGTAGGCAGAAAATAAAAAGGTAAAACCTCCGGAAGTTCCTACCCTGGAATTAGCATTCACGGAAAGTGACTCTTTTTTTTGCTACCGACAAGCAACAGCGAAAGTTAGTATCTTCATTGCAACAGTCCGCTTTTAGAACGGAAATGTTGGTTCCAGAACATGGTTAAACCACAGAGTGGACTACATAAATCTAATCCACCCTTCTTTTTTATTTTTTCACCCAATAAGTTTTTTTAATTTTGCTCTTTGCTGAAAACAGGTTCATATGGCTAGTCTTCTGGTTAGTGGTCTTAAAAACTACTCCAAATTAACATCGATACTTCTATTTAATTTATTTAATTTTTGGGACCTATCTTTGTTGAGCTGACGCGAGGTTGCTAACGTGAACCGTTGAATTTTGAAGGATAATGGATGCGCAGGCGAATTTACCTTTTTCAGAATCCAGACGTGTTCTGTATAACGTTAGCCATATCATTTAGTGAATTATCTATAGAACTACTAGTGGTCTCTTATATAAATAAACGGCGCTCTGCTTAAAAACTACTCGTTTTGTTAAGTGTAAGCGCTCCCGAGCGTTGTTCACATTGGATGACGACTGAATCCCACCCAGGTCAAGAAATTAATCTGAGATAACGCGTCAAGTCACGTGTGAATTGAAGCATTCGCTTTTCTGGTTCATTTTTGAAATTTTGAAACTATCCAAAACGCCTCAAGAGCCTTACACCTTGATTTTTTTTATTCCTGCCCTAGCATACGGCCAATCATTTCAAAACCATCTTCATTGTTTTTTGTGTCTTATGCGTACCTAGAAGAGTACTTCAGTGATTTTTAAGTTCCCGATCTAGACGTTATTCTATGCGGGCGCAAAGTGGTCTACTCGTTTCCCCAATGTATTCTTCACCACATGCCATACATGAGGTTAAGCGTATTGTACCAGAACTCATGCAAAACTGGTATTTACCGCTAGGACAAATTACATGATTTCCTGTGCTGCTCAATCGTTAATAGAGACGGTTGAGGATTAATTGACTTCGTAGGGTATTAGGTGGGAGATTAACAACTGCGACAGTATTTTCAAGTCCATTTATTTATATTCGCCTCTTAGCGACATAATTTCTCCCCTTTGATATGATGGGTAGTTTGAAAGGGACCTTATCTAGGTTTAGAATATTGTTTCGTCGCATTGCCCTGCCTTTTCATCAAGAGCGAAATTGCGAGGGTTCTTGCGGCTGAGATATCCTAGGTTAAGCTTCCCAATGAAATTATCAAACACTATTTCAGCTTATCATCACTTCGAAGAATCTTTTGAGGAGGAAGAATGATCCTCCGCTCCATATCGCAGTTCGAAGCAAATGAACGTCACCTAGCCATGATGGAGCGGCAAGCAATTGGTGAATATTTGATAAGATATGCATTATTCATTTTGGTATGGCTCATTTTCAATATGTATAAATTTAAAATTCCACCATATTCACGTAGCACTTCCAGATAGTACTGTTTCGTCCGCAACCACCCTCTGATCAGCACTTATCCTTCTGTCTGGCACTTGCTCAGACGTCACATGGACTCGCCAGGAATGGAATCGAGGGCTAGAGTTTCGTTGCTTACGACGATGATGGTGTATAGTGTTCATGTAAGAGGTAAACCATGCGTGGAATTTGGAGTATCGTTTTTTTTCCATGCGTACTTTACTCTGCGGCGTTGAACTAACTAACAAACAAAACTAACAAATTTAATGAAGTTAAAAGGGTTCTGATCATTATGCCTTTGCCCAGCATTGCTTTTGCTAGAGACGTTAACCAAGCTGCAGGGTCTATATATTCTTAAAATTGCGTCAACGATTTGAGCATTGCCCAGTTTTTAACTAGTTTTACGGTGTTCTCAAGTGAAAGTACGAAAAATTTGTACATATAACTTAAAGAAAATGGCAGTGGAGCAATGTTTAAAACCTCCGAAGAAAACTCGTTATTCTAACTCATTTCGTTTAAAAAAAACTTCACAAACCGATTTAATATTGATTAATAAACTAGAAATTGTGCAAAATTCAAGGAAACAACAACGACTACTTAGTAACCACGACCGTTTTAATGAGTTGAAGCAGGTGGCAGCCTCGATCCATGCATCATTCGAGGCGAGCATCATCTATTGCGATTCTCAGGAACTCGGGAAGTGATCGGCTGCAGTCACATTGGCGCCGCTTATGTACCTCTCGTGAAACAGGAGAAATTTCGAAAAATTGACGCGGCGCAATTTTAATTTTGTAGCTCATAGAAGTATTACACGAGTGTATAAAAGTTTATATGTTACACATGTATTACAATAATACGTATTACTAACGTTTTCTATCATACACATTACACACATTATACACACTAAAATATATTATCAACACCATATATTACCTATTGTACAAATATAATATAAAATAAATATAGTATAAATATAATATAAATATAATATATAATATAATTTAAATTATAATATAAATAATATAATATAATATCATAATATAATATAAAAAATAATAATATAATAATAATAATATAGTATAATATAGTAATAATATAATAATATAATAATATAATATAATATAATAATATAATAATATAATATAATAATATAATATAATATAGTATATAATATAATATAAAATACAATATAAATATAATATAAAATATATTATTAACACCATATATTACCACCTATGTATTTATTTTTTTAGTTGATCCGTCCTCATGTCTGCTCTCTGCAGATCCCAGCACTTCTCGCATTCGGTTCGCTTTCTCCCATCCATTGTCCACGAAGATCTTCTAACTTTTACGTGTGGCTTCGGCTGGTGCTTGAGGGTTTTCATCTCATCTTAAATGTCGTGGAGTGCTGGTTGAGCAATTCTCCAAGAAGTCCGGAGATAGCGGGGCTGGAGTGTCCCCAATTGAGTTGCAGACAGTAATTTTTCCCCAGAAAAATCCGCTACCAATTCCCCGACCCCGGATGGATGAGAGGCTTGGCTGACCTGAAGCAAAGTCGAACTAGCACCATGCTTGTGATGACGGGCATCACTACCACTGTGCTAACCGCTTCCTAATAAAATACATATGTGGATAGAATTGTAGATATATTTGTGTACGTATGCATGTATAATAATTTAATTAGTTTTAATAATATTGAATATCTCAGCAATATATGTGCTATTATGTGTATTTTCGTATTTTTGTGTATTATGTGTATGTATTTCGATGTGTATATGTAAAAGTTTAAACAACATATAGGGGTTTATATGTGTACGCATGATATGGACGCACATGGGCAGTGGTTGAGAATTCCATGTAATACTCACGTGCTCGTTGGTTTAATGTCACACCTGTCTGGAAGGAATTAATGTCCTTTGCTCATCAATTCCTCCAAGGTAGGAAAACTTCTACCAAACCTGTCTGGTGGGATGGCAGTACTGACTAGATTCATCAGCCGGCACCTTACAAGTCACTGCCTTTTCCAAATGCGCATTCAGTCACCTCTAACGATGCTTGTTGGAATTGAATACATATCGCATTTCTCAGGGTTTGATCGACAGTGAGAGCTTTATATTTTGCACATATATATATGTATATATATGTATATATATATGTATATATATATAGAGAGAGAGAGAAAGAGAGAGGAATTGCCGAGAAGGCATTATCGGCTTTCTTGCTTCAGTATTTGACACATCTTCTCAAATAAAATTTAACATCCTCATATTCATGCTTTATTGTACCTCACACAAAAAATGAACTTTTAGCTTAAAGTTTCTAGATTAGCATATCTATTTTTTCCCAGATGCCTTTGTATGGAACAAAGGCTGTTCTTCTTATTTGTTCGATTACTACCGATTTCATACTATTCAGCACACCTAGTGACATTCTAACGTTTGCTGCACCAAATCTTTCTTGTAACTGTAGTTGATTTAAGAAGGTTGAGAATTGAGAAAAGAGCGATGTTATGAATGGACGTTGAATGACAGAAGGCTATCCACAGACGTGAACTCTTTTCTCTGTTTATTATAAATTCTTAGTAATTGAATTTATCGCTATGAAGTAAGGCGATCATATCAGAGAGATATCATCGCTTGTGTAGTGTAGTTCAACATTGTCGCTGCTCTTCTACAATATTCGACCAAGCAGATATTCGAGCACTAGAGTCTTGCTACAATATCCTTCCTTTAACTCATCAATACAAGTTAAGGCTTCGCTGCTTTCTGCTTGTTTACATAACCTATTTTAACAGTTTCTCTCAATTTGTTGTTGCTTTCCAAATTCAGACACCTCTCTGAAGCCTGCTGCTTTTCATACTTAGTTCTCCCTCGAATACTAAAATGCAGCTACAAGTGTAAACACAGATAGTCGTCAACTCTTATGTATTAGAAGCTGATTCCTACGAAATGCACTACTAAGCCACAAATCTAAGAAGCCAGTAA